GAAGTTAATGATCACGCGAAGTTAATGATCACGTGAAGTTAATGATCACGCTAAGTTAATGATCACGTGAAGTTAATGATCACGCGAAGTTAATGATCACGTGTAGTTAATGATCACGGGAAGTTAATGATCACGCGAAGTTAATGATCATGGGAAGTTAATGATCACGCGAAGTTAATGATCACGGGAAGTTAATGATCACGCGAAGTTAATGATCACGGGAAGTTAATGATCACGCCACGTTAATGATCACGGGAAGTTAATGATCACGCAAAGTTAATGATCACGCAAAGTTAATGATCACGCGAAGTTAATGACCACGCAAAGTTAATGATCACTTGAAGTTAATGACCACGCGAAGTTAATGATCACGGGAAGTCCCAATTAAAATGATGTGAAATTACAAGCCTTCCTGTAAGCTTACAGATACGAAAAAAATGTTATAAGGCTGCTGATATGAAGCTTGCAATGGACAAGGTTGTTGTAAATGCTCAATGGCATGTTCATGGATAGGGTAATATCACATCAATAATACGATAATGTCACATCAATAATACGGTAATAAATGTATATGGCAATATCATATCATTAAAGGAAAAACAAGTAAAAATCACAGAAAATGTAATTTATTCTACCTCTACATCATCTACAATGAAAGAGGACTTCAGAGTACTGTTAGTAATGGATGAGTACGCTCTGCATGCTTCAAATATTTTGAAATGAAGTTTTATTCCCGTTGTCCTGAGTAGCCCCAACCAACGGGGCTACTCGGGACAATTTCTATTTTGCGTCTGGCACCTTACGAATAGCATATGGAATTTTTTTGACAACGCCATTCGATAGCCCTGCCAATCAGCTATAAAATGAGACTAAACTTGTTTATGAAATGTTTCATCGTAAGAAGTTATTAACTGTTATTTAAAACTAATTGTTCAAATCTGTCCCGAGTAGCCCCAGTTGACGGTACCCGGCGACGCATCTTTAAAATGGTCACTGGTCAGCGACGCTTTGGGCTTGAAAACCCTCATATTGACGACGCTGCTTCCACCTTCTGCACCCTGCTATCCTGGTTCCTGGCAGGATACTGAATAGTGTATACCAATACCACTTGGCACTTACCAGCATTATCATGCATAAAAAAGGGGGGTCACCAACACTCACCATCACACTTGAAAGCTGAAGGCGCTGAAGACCTTCAGCTGCGTCATTCCATCGATCAATAATTTGCCACTTAAGCAACATCAGCTTCTTTGGCGTCTTCAGCTTTTAAGTGTTACCCTAACAGGGATTTAAATCTTGACTGTCGCCTGCCGGCAAGATCTTCTGAAGGCATAAATTTTGCTGCTGAAGTGTTGCCAAAGATCTTGCAATGCTCACACACTCTGCACAGTGGGACTGGATGGCATCTTTATCAAATAAATAAATCACAGTCTAGCGATTGCATGCAAATGATAGAATAGACATGCGTGATTGGTCTGAAAATGACTACCGGTATGCACTATCTTAGAACTATCCACTGCCATTGGTGGCCAATGCCCATAATGGCAATTGGAAAAGCTGTCTTTTTTTAGACTTTTCTTTTTAGTGCATTTTCCATTTATGGATAAATGCACTATTGTGCTTGCCATGTCCGTCTGTCTGTCTGTCCGTGACCTCAAGTTTTTGTTGACAAGAAAATGCGCTCTCTGTCACTCACTGCAGTGGCCAGTGAGTACTGAGTTATATTTTTTGAGTTAATTTACCTCTATGAGTAGAGTACCAGGATACCCGAGACTGGAGAGTAGTAGGTATCAATGATATCAGCATCTATGATACTTTACCTAACTCTCTGCCTCTTGGTCTCTGGTTTTGGACCACAGTACTGCATAATAAACAATTCCTACTTATTACTGAAATGTTATAGCATAGAAGTAGCATATTTTTAAGAACATTAGAATCTTGCAGCTTAATCATTAGGTACCGTATCTAATTTTAATAAATAGATTTGAATTAATTTATCTGGCAAGAGTGTTAGGGCTCTAAAAATTGATTGTATGAATTGGAATTTGGTCAATTTGGTGCGTGCTGATCTTCGGTCAAGACTTTTATATATTGGTCATTCATGCTGCAAAAAAGCTCTTATACTGGCATCCAAAAATTCACATCACACTTGCCACTTGGCATTTAACAAAAAATTTAATTAACTAGTATTCACAAATCACAATAATCCTGAAGAGAATGAAACATTCTCTTGTGCATGTCAACATCCTAAAAGAAAAACAGAAACAATGTACTAAGAACATTTGGCACTGCATTTGTAAGCTCTAATTGCAGTTCGGAATGTCCATATGTTCTCATTCAGAGTACCTATAGGCTCATTCTTCCCTTATGGCCATGTGCTAATATTAAGTAATAGCTTTTTCTAATATTTAGTATATTTTATATTTTTCAGGTTCATTCAATTCCATATATTCCTTTTCATTGGATTATTGCTTTCCAAGTATGAAAAAGAAATCCAAAGGCCTCTCTCCAGTTGTACAAACTAGGGTGAGTTTAAATGTTTCAAGGAATTTTCTTACTAGCATAAGTCTGAATATTTTTTTGTTTCTTGTCACTCCAAGCCACTACGTATACAAAGTTTAGTTATTGCGTTGCCTAGATTTAGGCACTAAATGTTACAATAACGATTACTACTTTTGAGGATTTATTACCAAAATTATCTCTTCCTTCTATATTTTTGTCAAGAATTTATATGTACACAGTACACACTGGTAGTATCAAAGATAAATGCACCCTTGAAATTTTTAATAACTTGAATGGAGTGAAACATTTATTATAATAACCTATGATATTCATGTTAAGCTGTTAAGCATAATGGGATGTGCACCAGAAATCAGAATATAAAACTGATAAAACAGTATTATAATAATAACAAGTAGCATGGAATTTTGGATTCACTACCATTAGGAATGGTTCCACCAAGTTGCTAGGTATGCTAATCTCTTTTCCTTAACATAACTTCATTGATGTTAAAAATTTAAAATCTTCAGAATCTTCCCTAATCAAAGTTTTATTGCATGAACTACCAGTACATAGGTATGTATGTATCAGTTCACATTATCATCCCTAAGAACTAAACTCTAAATTAACAATTCAACTTAATGAAACCATGCACAATTTATACTTATGCCAAATGATCTTAAGTCTAAAATTAATTTGCCAAATTGTATATAGGTAATTGAAGGCCTAATGAATAAATGGTTGGTCATTGCAATCATTTCTAAACTTGAGAAAATAGTTTCTAGACAATTTTGTTCTAACTTTTCCATAATTCTAGAATGAGATTAATTATTATATTCAATATTTTCACAATGTTCTCAATGAGGAAATGGTTCTCTAGATTCATCCTCCATAGGTCTCAGAGAAGTACATCCATTTGGCAGCAGCTTGTTAACAGACAGTTGACTCTTCCACTTTGAACTACACAAGTTTTATAAATGTCTCCACAAACAATTAATTACTGGAAAGGACTGCTAGGCAAATATTGATCAAACTAAAAACTGTGATCTTGGCAAAACAAACTGAAAACTTAAAACATACACACACATGCATTGCCTAAATAATTCAGTACTGAAATATTCAGACAATAAATCATAATACAAAGGCATCATTGTAATGTATTCATTGTTGATTTGATTCTGTTTCCCATGAAAATAAGTAGGTACCTATTTATTTACCTACCAGAGAAAGTTGTAATATAGTATTCATTGTTGATTTGATTCTGTTTCCCAAGAAAATAAGTATTTTTTAACTAGAGAAAGTTTAATTTTAACAGTGTTGCAACTTCTGTACAGTAGTAATTCTATCTTTCAAACATGCAGGAAGAAGTTGTGGAGCATGTGAAGGCCCGCTTGCAGGAGGAGGGTCGAGAAGCACGGAATCTTGTTGCTTATTCCCTCCCCTTGCAAGGCTTCTCATCTTCTTCTTCTTCTTCTTCATCGTCCGTTGATCAACTCATGGCGGGAGGAGACCAGCACAAACAAGAGCTCAAGCCAGGAGCCAGAGGCAGCGATGAACAGGCATCTTCATCCAGAACATATTTCATAAACCCTAATGTTGGTTACAGCTATTCTGCTGAGAGTCCTTCAGGATCTTCTCGGCTACTGCCTCATTCCATCCCTGAGTGTCCATCTGAAGACCCTACCTATGATTCAAATAATGAAGAAATGTCTAAGTGCACTGGAGCTTCAGCTTCTCTCCCTCCTCTTTCTCCAACTTCTCAAGCCTCACGTACGCCTTTGCTGTCTCCAACTTCATCAGTGATGTCATCTGAGAGTCTCCCGCGCAATCACAGACTTAAAGTTCATGGTAAGTACAATTTTTTTCTCTTCAGTATTTTTAGAAAGAATTTTGGAAATTCTTTAAACTTTTCTAAAATTTTACTATGTCAAAAAACCACTTACTCTAATACAGATGAATTTTGGCCAAAAATTGCCAATTCACGTTTTGTTTTTATTAACAGATGTTGGAATGGGAGAATCTTCTCTCTCTAGAAGAGGCTCCACGAAGCAGGAGAAACGATCAAGATCTGTTTCAGCTGGACGAAATCCTCATCAATGTGAGGATTGCAATCCTGTTTAATTAAATTGTCAAATAATTAATGCCCTATTTCACATAACATGCATTCTTCATGAAAGCATTTGTGTCCTGTAGGTACTTATAAATTGTGTCCGCAAATTTGTCCTGTTTGTCATCTTGACCTGTTATTAACTATTCTTCCTTGTTTTAAAGTTAACATCAATTAAAAATTTTTGGTGTGCAGTTCTTTTAAAAATTTCAAGTACTTTTCAATGGTTTTATTTGTTATGACAGGCTTGCGTGCTCGGCACTGGGGGTTCCTTTTTCGCAACCTCCAGCAAGCTGTTGACCAGATTTACCAGACCTGTGAGACTGACGAGTCTGTCATCGAATGCAGAGTGAGTACACTACATATACTACATCTTGCACATGCTTAGATTATTTCTATAATTTTCTCTTAGTAGGTACATTGCTTCTATTCTTGCATTTGTTCAACATTGATCACTGTTTCTCTATACACGGGTCTGTTTCTTTCATGCAAGAAAACATAAGGAGTTTTCTAAGTAACACTACCTTATTGTAAATATTTGTAAGTTTTTCATTGCAAAGCAGAAATAGAATTGAAAACAAATTCTTATGAAAAACAAAAGTCTGAGATCTGAGGCAGTCTGCTTAACTAGGAAATAAATAAAAATTCACTCGCACTCTTTTTTGGTGGGTTTTTGTTTTTCCTAAAATAAAGAAAAAAACTTTCCATGCAACTTCTTTAATGATTCGTTCTAATTTAGATGATTCGTTCTAATTTAGAAGGTCAATGTAAATTTTGTCAATGTATTGAGATGGGTAGTCATTACCAAAGTCAGTGTTGCATCTCACACATTTGAGCGAGAACAATAATGATTCTTGTGCAGCCAATACTGTCATTACTTTTAATCTTCAATTCTGCACAATTACTTGCCTGTCATTAACCATTTATTCTTTACGTATCGCGAGTCAGAGCGTCAACTCATGCATCATTTGTGCAGCTGACATAATGAAATAATATTTATTATATTGTGTCATTTTAATATTCATATTGTTTATAATGACATATTATGTATGTCATTATCACACTTCCAATCTCAAATTATGCTCAAATATGGCAAATGTGATTACTCGGTTTCTACTCATGCTTTTCCAGGATGACATTTTGATTTTCGAGCTGAATTGGCTCTAATTTCTTGGGTATGATTGCTTGTTAATTTCTCCTATTTTACAGAAAGGCATTTTGATGCTGCAACTGAGCATGCACAAATTAAGTGTTGTTGACAGTTCATATTCACGTTTTTACAGGAAGGCATTCTGATGCTGCAACTGAACATGCGTAAATTTCTCAAGTGTTGCTGACAGTTAATATTCACGTTTTTACAGTAAGCCATTTTGATGCTGCAACTGAACACGCTAAAATGTTTGTGTTGCTGACAGTTTATTTTCATGTTTTTACAGGAAGCCATTTTGATGCTTGAGCGTTACACAAAAGACTTCCGTAAGCTCATCGAGTGGCTGCAGATCAAGTGGGAGTATGAGAACACGCCTCCCCCACAGCGACCAACCTCACTCGCCTGGGAGGTCAGGACGCGGTCACAAACAAAGGTACTGTCATAATTCAAGTATTTATTTCATTAATTGCCTTATTAGTTGGATAATAAATCATTAATTCTTTAATAACTTGCTACTCAAGTTAATATAATGAATTTAGAAGCAATCATTGATTGGCTAATTAGTTGGATAATAAATCATTATTTATTTATTAACTTTCTACTCAAGTTAATATAATGAATTTAGAAGCAACCATTGATTGGCTAATTAGTTGGATAATAAATCATTATTTATTTATTAACTTGCTACTACTCAAGTTAATTTGAAGAATTTAAAAGCAAAGAAAATGCTAAATAAATTCGCCTATTGCGTACCGCACGGATTCGTCATGACTGAAGAAATTTTTAAACTATTTACCTAGTAAAAGTGATTAGTGTGAAAATTTATCATTTTTTAATTTAAATATTTTAAAGTTTCATGGTGTTTTCGACGCCGTTAAATTATTAGCTGATTTGCAAGCTAGGGTAACAAATGATAAAAGGAAAAACTTTGTACACAATTTTTTTGAAATTACTTTGGAATTGTGCCCGATTTTAGTATTAAAATTGTATGAATTTTTGTGAAGTTGCCGCTATTGATATTTTAAGAAACATTTTTCTACCGGGCAACAAGTGCATAATGTTTTTAAAGTTATCGCTATTGATATTTTATGAAACATTTTTCTACCGGGCCTCAAGTGCATAATGTTTTTTAAAGTTATCGCTATTGATATTTTATGAAACATTTTTCTACGGGTTCTCATGTGCATGATGTTTTTAAAGTTATCGCTATTGATATTTTATGAAACATTTTTCTATAAGTTCTCATGTGCATGATGAACATTTTATTTACAGGAACCAAGGCCTCTAACTTTGAAGGATGTCCGACGAGCGCTTAACTTTGACTTGGTGAGACAAGCTTCATCGGGCAATGCAAGCGACAGCAACTCTAACAGATCTTTGTCTACAAGTATTGCAGACATGACCAAAGTCCATCAACTGGCTGCTGAACTTGCAGCTGATCTATCCCTTTCCAACAGACTAAATCTCGCTGCTAAAGTGGATAAAGTTTTATCTGACCACACTAGCTTGGAAAATTCACCTGGAGCGAGACTGGAATCTGCATTTTCTGACCTTGTCTTGGAAGACGTTGGAGTTAGCGATGATGGAACCTCGGATTCCAAGTCAAAAGTTCACAAAACTGATAAAAATTCAACTGTATTCAACGAGAAACCAAAGTCACCGAAGCAGAAGTCTCCCAAAATAAATACTGGAACTTCAGGGAAAGTTAGCAGTTCGAGTCAGAATGACATAATAATTAACAAATCAACGTCTGAAGGTATCTTTAAGGTGCCTGCCTTGCCGAAAAAATCGAATAAACTCAAATCCAAAACGTCTGAGTCCAAAAACAACATTCCAACTTCTCAAACTCAATTTATTTCTGCTGAAGAAGGCACGAAAAACGTTCCCGTATCGTTTCCTGTCGAGAACCGAAAAACTGGAGATTCTCTTGCATCGAACACCGATATAAATGGAAAACTTAAACTTCATCCCACTGCTGATATTATTGGTACAAACGATACAGCGACGGTAACATCTGGTATTTTAGAAGCTCGGGAGGATATGTCTTCGACTATCAGTAAAGATCCGACTGTCAGAAAAGATCCGACTGTCAGTAAAGATGTCGGAGAAAAAGAATGCAATATTCAAGCTCCTAAGGTTGTTTCAAAAAATATTCTATCTTCAAATGAATATTGTTCTGCAGGAAATGAAAAAGTAACTAACGAAGCTCCCAAAGAAGATTCTGCCTGCAAATCGATTAAAGAATCTAAACAAGTCAGTGTTTCAAAAAGTGAAACCACGTCTCCTACATCGGAAGTTTTGCAATGTGAACCGAATCCCTCAGACACTTCAGCGCAAAGGATAGAAGCCACTACTTCTCAGTTAGAAACGCGTGAAAAACTTGCTGTTGGTCGTGATACAGTAGTTGAAGTAGGAACCAAGGTAAAGGCCTCTTTGCCAGGCGAACCCAAAAGTAATTCTATAGTGGATTCTAAAATCAACACTAGCTTGGATACTGTTACAAAATCCGTATTGTCTACCAAAACTGAAAATAGAGCAACCGGTTCCAGCAGCCGAATGGAAAACAAGATCAATTCTTCATCCAAACAAGATATGAAAAATTCCAGTAAACCTGAATCAAACTCTTCATCAAAACAAGATGTGAAAAATTCCAGTAAACCTGAATCAAATTCTGCATCAAAACAAGATATGAAAAATTCCAGTAAACCTGAATCAAATTCTTCATCAAAACCAGATGTGAAAAATACTAGTAAGCCTGAATCAAATTCTTTATCAAAACAAGATGTGAAAAATACTAGTAAACCTGAATTAAATTCTTCATCAAAACCAGATTTGAAAAATTCCAGTAAACCGGAATCAAATTCTTCATCAAAACAAGACATGAAAAATACCAGTAAACCTGAATCAAAGGCAAACAGTGCTGTCAAAACTGACAATAAATGTCCCTCAAAATCAGAGGCCCGAAATATCTCTGTCACCAAATCAGAATTCCGTGTTGCCGTGAACAGCAAAACTGAGGCTAAAAAAGACGGCGCTGAAGTGAAGAAAAACATTAGTGAAGCGTCGACGTCTGTTAACGCATCCAACAAACTAGCCGTCGGCAAAACTCCTGTTGTTACAATGAACAAGGCAAGTGCATCTCTTATTTCATTCTATTTAGGGTTTTTCAGAGATTTACTTTAATTCCTTCGCGATTTAAATTTATATACCTACCTATGTTACCATTCTAGAAAGACTTCTCTATTATTCTAAAGATTCAACGAAATACCTTTCCTAGGCTATAGCGAAAATTGTTTCGCTAATTCATTTATTAATTGAACTTTGATTATTATAGAGTAAACAATTACTCATAATCTCCTGACCTGGAACCTTTAGTCTCATATATTTCTAAGCATCGCTAGTGCTTCCAAGTTTTCGTCTACTGGTGGTAACTTCTATTACCGAGCCTTTCGAAATCAGTAGCATTATCGGTTAATAATGTATTTGTGGGCAAAAAGGGAAGCTTTAAACTATTAAGCGATTGATGTAATGCGGTGCTGTTGTAACAGCCTGATCTTGCAGTGTCCGTTAAATTGTTTATCCGTGCAAATATTGACAATGCTTAATGTATCCTTGGGAAAAGAGTGAAAACTTAAGCAATTTCATTGACTTATGCCCCGCGTTACAGGCGTGGCAGGTTCGCCAGGCCTTCAACCAGAGTCGCGCTCCCGTCAAGCAGCTACCACAGCCTGCCGGGATAAGCAGCCTGGGCGCCCCCCACCGCTACAGTTCACCCATGCACCCTCAGCCGTGGCTGTCTGGCTCAGCGGCTTCCTATTCTGCCCACATCAGACTCAGGGGAAACCCTCAGCAGCAGGTCTGGTCATACTACGTGTAATTTTACACAATTTTCAAGACTATCGTTATTTTGAATTTGAATTTCTGGCTCAGCGGCTTCATATTCTGCCCACATCAGGCTCAGGGGAAGCCCTCAGCGGCAGGTCAGGTCATACTACGTGTAATTTTACACAATTTTCAATACTATCGTTATTTTGAATTTGAATTTCTGGCTCAGCGGCTTCATATTCTGCTCACATCAGGCTCAGGGGGAGCCCTCAGCAGCAGCAGGTCAGGTCATACTACGTGTAATTTTACACAATTTTCAAGAATATCGTTATTTTGAATTTGAATTTCTGGCTCAGCGGCTTCATATTCTGCCCACATCAGGCTCAGGGGGAGCCCTTAGCAGCAGGTCAGGTCATACCATGTGTTATTTTACAATTTTCAAGACTATCGTTATTTTGAACTATTACTATTTGTCTATTGAACTAGGTATTGAACCAAACTATTTGACTATCGTTATTACATTTGAACTTTATTTATTACCTCAAATGTTCTTCAAAATGGGATTTGTTCAAAGTAAATTATTTTCCGTTACTTTAAAAATCTTACGTTGATTACAACTTTTTTGGTAACATAAAATATTTCTGTATAAATATCACTGGACGGGAATGTTTTCCCTCAGTTTCCAGGTGCCTTTACTTGTTTCTTAATTTACGCTATCGTCCTGAGGTTTTACCTGTTCACGATACGATGCTTAGATTTAAGCCTTTTTCGACACAATATTTGGGTTTAAGATTGTGTGTATATGTCACTAGCCTGGGCGAGCTCGTCGTGGTGGCGGCGGCGGGGGCGGTGGTGATGCCTTCACGCGACGCCCCGACAGATATGAAGTCCCAGAGAACGCCGCCCTTGTCCGCTCGCACACCACTCTAGGCACCGTGAGTACTCCGGGTGTAGAAGGAGTTATTGAAAGCCGTCTATGCTATTAGTACCTAAACACCTGGAAACGACAGGTAGGTACCGTCAGTGTATAAATGTTTATCTCTTTCTCTATGCATGCATTAACTGCTTTTAGTTCTATTCTTATCTGAAAACCTTGTCACTAGAGTTACCGTCACTTATTTTAACTCGTTATTGGAAAAAACTTTCGTTCGTTTGGAATTTCAATTCCGTACACAATCTTCTCCGCCCGCACGCAACCACATCCTTTAAGTTCATGGATTCATGTTGTTTTAAAAATCAATGCAAATTATGTAATGCTTAATTGGTTAACTCTTCTTCGTCGCTGCTGAAATAACATGAAATATAATGAATAGCTTGCCCATTATGACGTTCATATGCAGCTTGAAAGTTTGACCAGTTGACATTTTTGTCTAAAATTCAGTGACATCGATTCCAGCCACTGCGTCCATATCCAGAAACTATATCTTTTTTGACTGATAAAAAATTCCCACAATATCTTCCTTTGCAAGACTAGAGAATCTGATTCTGATAATGAAGAAGCTACTGAAATACTTTACATTTCAGTGCACGTCAGGCCGATCTCACGGGGGGCGACAGACCGACTACCGCAGGAGTGTGGGCGACGCGCCTGCTGGCCACGGGACATCTCTGCAGCCTTCGTGGGCGGACCGTGTGAGAGGACCGAGTGCTTCGTCGCCTTCGTCCATCGTCCCGACCACCCCCTCGTCCTCTGCATCCACCACCTCACTCCTCTCCTCACAAGGTCAGTGAACTGAGTGCTTCGTCCATCGTCCCGACCACCCCCTCGTCCTCTGCATCCACCACCTCACTCCTCTCCTCACAAGGTCAGTGAACTGAGTGCTTCGTCGCCTTCGTCCATCGTCGCTTTCATCCTGTCACCCTCGTCTTCTTTGTCTCACAAGGCCTGTGAAGTTGACGTGTAAGTGAGGTAGTACCGTACTATATTTATCCATAGTATCTCAATCACACGACATAGGATTTTCGTTTTCATTGTTTTCTTTCAGGTAATTGGCCCGACAGTTTATATTGCGAATGTGAAATTTTTATTTGCACTCAATCTAAATACCCAATTGCCTTGGATAAATTTTATATTGTATTTTCTGATGTATTTTAGACTTTACTTACTCTGCCTTTAATGGTTGTTGAAGAAAACTCGGTTCTATCGCCGGCAAAGTATGATTACTTGAACAACCTTTATTTAATAGTGAAGAAAGTATATACATGTCATAAGTACCTACCTGGAAAACTTTTAACCGCCATCGCTCTCCTCAAATACCTACATTTTAATCAGAGCGCTATAATTTATTTAACATTTATTTATTTTTAACATTTATTTATGTTTGCAGCTGAGGAAAGCAGCGGCGTCGTGGACAGAGCAGAAGAAGGTTGGGAGGTGGTAAGGAGAGGCCGTCGCAGCTGTGGAGGCAGCACAGCGTCTCTTAATCTGCATAGCAATGCTACGTCCCTGGCTGCTATCCCTGTTCAATCATCGGTCTATCGCAGCGCTGGATGCTCGTCTACTGCGACCATTCATCAAAAAACTGATGGTGAGTCTAATAATTTTCAGCACCGCGTCTCTTAATCTGGATAGCAACGCTACGTCCCTGGCTGCTGTCCCTGTTCAATCATCGGTCCATCGCAGCACTGGATGCTCGTCTACTGCGACCATTCATCAAAAAACTGATGGTGAGTCTAATGATCTTCAGCACAGCGTCTCTTAATCTGCATAGCAATGCTACGTCCCTGGCTGCCATCCCTGTTCAGTCATCGGTTCATCGCAGCACTGGATGCTCGTCTACTGCAACCATTCATCAAAAAACTGATGGTGAAACTAATGAACTTATTATGGATATGTAATACTAGGATACTGATAGGCAGTTCCCTTATCAGTGCTCGTGCTGATAGCGAAAATGATAAGCTTGTAATGCGTTTATTGACGCATACTGCTGCTTTGCTGTTGGCTTCCGCGTTCAAGTAGAGCAAAATACAGAGCAGCCTAGCACAATGTTGTAGCCGTGTCACGACCTATATTCACAAAAAAATTATATATTTTATTCGAGCATCTTTCTTTGAATCAACAAATGACGTGAATTTAACTTGTTCACATGAAATGATTTCAGTTTGCACTATAGTTTTCGCTTTTTAACGGTGAAAATATGTTTCCTATAATCAATGGCCGTGTTATTGTTTAATTTCACTGGTACTACCTGATTACCTCTTCAAAAAGTATCTTGCGTTATCTGGTACGTGATCTTATATACCTACTTCTGTTGAGTTCTGATATGCGACATGATTATTGTATGTAGGGAACGGTTTGAGCCTTAAGAAGTCGTCATAAAAATTACGGCGTTTTTGCGCGAAATGACAACATTTTCGGTAAAATTTCTCATATCTCTTCTGTTAAACCTAGAGTCGTCATAAAAATTACGGGGCTTTTTGTGGTAAAATTTATCATTTCCCTTCTGTTAAACCTAGAAAAATTCATACCTGCATCGCTATAACTCCTTTACTTTTCACAGGCGCTCCAGGGAGCTGGTATCGTGAGCGCTATAGTGCCCCGAGTTCTGCTACATCCTTGCCCTCCTTGGCCTCGCTGGGCGACCAAACCAAGAATGTGCCTTCAAAGCCGGAGGGAACCAAGCAAACTTCCCCAGAGAGCTCCGGTTCCGCTATTTGTGATGAAGAAGGAAGAGTCATGCCTCTGAGTGGGGTGAAAATTCCGACGAGCTGTGAAATGGAAGGCTCTCGAGATGATGTTGTGAAGAAACGGTTAGTGAAAGAAAATTCGGATGAAGTGAAAAGAAAAAATAAAGACGCTTCTGGTGAATCGAAAGGCAAAAATAAAGTTACTAGGGCCAAATCGTTCACGAACAATCGTTCGGCTGGCTGTAAATTCTCTTCAGCTGAAGACATAAACTGTAGGAATGGAAAAACTCGACAATCAAATGCAAGAAACCGTAATTATTCTCAAAGAAACGGTTTCTGCAAAGAAAATATTTCAAGTTCGACTGAGGGTAGCAAGGTTTTAACCAGTCTTTCATCCAAGAAATTGGATATCAAAGAGGGTTCTGATGTCAACAAATCGATAAAGTCAAACGATAAGTCATCGTTGACACCTTCTATTTCCTCGTCAACAACTGATGTAAGGAGAAGTAAAAGCTTCGTTTTAAATCCTTTACATGACGGTAAAAGTGAAGAAAAGGGTAAGAAAAAGTCCAAGTCATCTGGTTCTTTGGAGGGACAAAAGCTTGGTACGGAACAAGCCAAGCCTAATGACATCAGCAGACGTAGGAAATATTTAACTGAAGAAACTACAACTAATGCCGCATTAGAGACGCGAAGCTCTGTTCGTGATGACAGCAGTACGCTTTTGAAAGAAATGAACAAAAAAATTGCGCGGGATCCTAAGGATTTTTTCAGCCGTGGCAAGGCTTCTTCTGATGCCTTTATGGAATACCAAAGCAAGTACAAGAAATCCGGGAAAGACGGAACGAACAAACATTCGACAGCGGCTCGAGAAAACAAATCGCTCAAGGCTGAAAAATACGGCAAAGACGGAACAGACCAACAGTCGAAAGTGACTAGAGAAAATAAATTATTGAAGGAAGAAAATGAAGAGATGAAAGGAACGTGTTCAAGTTTATCTAGCTATCAGACTGAGGCAAATGGTAGTAATAGTTTAACCGAGGACACAGAAATTATTCAGGGCGGTGTGTCGTACAGATACGGCGAAGTCATGGCTCGTTTACATGAAGAAATCATCGAAGCTGCCGCTGTCGGTGGTGGTTCTTCTGCTGATGCTCCTTCAAGCTTCTATGCTTCTCAAAGGTACGGTGAAATTTTGCCATACTAGCCTTGTATTGGATTGTGCTAGTGGTAAAAGAGTTAATTTGTACGGATTCTCGTATAGCACTGCTATGTTCTAACCCAAAATCCCCAATTCTCAATCCTGAAGTCAATTGCTGCTGAGATACCATACACTCATTCACTCATATATCACAGCTTTATTCTAGTTATAATCGCGACGTACTATTTCTTGAATATTACCGTATAAAGTGCTCGTATTATCCTCCAGCATGGAATTACTCACCGGGAAGCTGGAAGTTTCCGCCACACCTGAGATACCGTACATCCATCACTCATATATCACAGCTTTATTCTAGTTATAATCACCACGTATTATTTCTTGAATATTTTCAAATGTACGTATTATCCTCCAGCATGGAATTACTGAGTATTATCCTTCCAGCATGGAATTACTGAGTATTATCCTCCAGCATGGAATTACTTGCTGAGAAGCTGGAAGTTACCGCAACATCAGACGCCGTTGAGGAGGACGCGGAGGACGCGGCTGCCGACGCCGACCTCAGGGACAACGCTGCGGCCATCGAGAGCGCCGTGGCGGAGGAGCAACGACTTAAGCAGCAAATACACGACACTGAGAACACTGACTGTACCGCTACCGTGAGTACTGGTACATTGACTGTACCGCTGCCGTGAGTACTGCTACCGTGAGTACTGCTACACTGCTACCATGAGTACTGCTACACTGACTGAACTGCTACCGTGAGTACTGCTACCGTGAGCACTGTTACACTGACTGCACGGCTACCGTGAGTACTGCTACATTGACTGCACCGCTACCGTGAGTACTGCTACCGTGAGTGCTGTTACACTGACTGCACGGCTACCGTGAGTACTGCTACCGTGAGTACTGTTACAGTGAGTACTGTTACACTGACTGCACGGCTACCGTGAGTACTGCTACCGTGAGTACTGTTACACTGGCTGCACGGCTACCGTGAGTACTGCTACCGTGAGTACTGTTACACTGGCTGCACCGCTACCGTGAGTACTGCTACACTGACTGCACTGCTACCGTGAGTACTGTTACACTGGCTGCACCGCTACCGTGAGTACTGTTACACTGGCTGCACGGCTACCGTGAGTACTGCTACCGTGAGTACTGTTACACCTGTCTCTTATACACATCTAGATGTGTATAAGAGACAGCTGCTACACTGACTGCACCGCTACCGTAAGTACTGCTACACTGGCTGCACCGCTACCGTGAGTACTGCTACACTGACTGCACTGCTACCGTAAGTACTGCTACACTAAGCCATTCGCGAAATGTTTATTGTTTGTCAGGAGAGATATTTCAAACCTACTGCGACAAAATCTGCAAGTCATGCTAGATTGTGGACAGCGCCTCTCTGTCTTGTCTACGTACGTTTTCGTCTAACCCCTTGCACTTGTAATTTATCCATATCGTCTAATCTATTAATCGATGTCAAACATTTTTCGTTATACACGAATCAATTCAGTTATGTTCCTAAATAGTTTGAGTTTGGAAAGTAATTTGATTTCATCTTTGTTTCTATTAGTTTATTAATCAATGGGAAAATCGTTAGCTCGCCGCAGGTATATACATTTTTACACACTTATATTACACCTTAACTTTATTCTTACTGTACTCCTTAGATTCATAATTGCCTCCTTTACCCTTATCATCAGGGTTAACTTGAACATTCTGCATAAATTTTTTGATAAAGTTCCATGAGAATCAGATTTTTACAAGATTTAGAATCATGTTATGAATGAATACATGTTAGAAACGTGTATCATTATTCATGCCTCAACAATATAAAAGTTTGCTTGATGGGAACGCGAGTGCATTGAAGGAACTCGCAATACAGAAAAATAAAGTTCTCGGCGACATCTTCTTAATGAAGTTATCTTAATTTATATGATACAGCCCCAAATTTGGCGTCAATAAATTCAACTTACCAATCTTTCTTTCCATGATATGCGGAATATAGCAATATTTCAGTTCTAATGGAACGGTTAAGATAAACATGAAGACTTGGTGACTAGGCTTCTTCTCCTGCTAACAGCTACACGATGGAAGGAATATTATGGTTCAGGCTTCATTTCATTGTTGTAATGTTCCTCGAGGCCATGAAAATTAAGGGTGAAATCCTTCACGCTTCGTCTTTTTTTACATCGTTTGACATGAACCCAGAATTCAACCTGAACATTTGACAGAAATCGCTCATTAAACCGAAACGGCAGTGCCGCATGTCAACGCTTTCAATAAATGACATTTTCGTTATTAAATTTTCGAGATCACCTGCGAAGCCCCCTGTCATTTCGACGTCGCATACACCTGATAACTGCGATACCCGCGAAAACTGTCAGTACCGCTCCTACTGCTGAAACTATGGCCACCACCACCATCGACAGGTCTAACCCTGCTGCGCTCACCGTGCTGTACCTAGCATCTTCATTCTCTACGGAATCTCCGTAAGCTCCATAGCTTTTCTCTGTATCCCAACCACGCCTTCTGTCGCCAACACTGATTATGGCATCACCTTGCAGTTGGTAGCTTTCGCTCATGCTCACTTTATAGGTCTTAACGACCACGGAGCTCACTCTGAGTAAATGGTACGTCGCGCACGAGACAACTAACTCTTTTCCGAACGCCAGTCTGAACGTAACCATAGGGTTGGTAGTAGGTGCCGCTACCCGTGGGCCGGTCGCAAGTGGGTAGTACCACACGTGGACGAGTGGGTTACTTTCAGTAGGTTCATCGGGGTGTGGTGGGCACGACAACAGGGCAGTGTTCCCCGGTACGTCGATTATCTCTTCTGTAGTGACGATTTCTGCGTCATAAGCTGTGTATGTAGCAGTTTCCTTAAGAGTGCGTACACCGTAGTTTACTGTGCATTCCAGTGAACCATAGCTCCCTGTGATGGGACCTGTCACGGCGAACTGTACTTTGCAATGGTGACCTCGTGACTCGTGTTTCTCTTCACCTGTGCTCGACTTCACCGAAGCCTGGGGAAAAATAAAAATTAAATACTCCTGTAAATCCAGTAAATATACTCCTGAGTATTTATATGCAGTAAATATACCCTAGTATTTACTGATCACATAACGCTAAGTTCTCAAATAATCTCCAGTTACCTACCATAAATAACTGTGTATAGTCTAATTAAACTGAGTTACTAGTGATTGCTGAATTTACTTGCGCATAAGTATTTGTTTAATATAAATACAAGGTAAATATTTATTTAATCCGTAAATTGTTTTCTCCGTGCGCAATTCTGTGTTGATTGTTTCCTACGTTCGGGATATAATGTGCTTAATTCCAAGTTGATTATTTTTGCTTCGAAGCTATCAGCCGTCCAAATTACTATTAAAGTTGAAGGCAATTAAAGGTAATTCCAAACTCATGAGACTCTTGGGTTTATCTATAACACAAAGAATTATGCATAAGAAATAATAACAAGAACCGTGCGTCTTTTACATGCGTTAGTCGGCAGTCCATTGCAGCGCGACTGCTTGTAGGATTCCATTGATATTGTGAACTTGAAATTAGGAGCGAGAAATGCTAAAAGAATAAGGTACAAATGCACTGTTTTGTACGCAAGTTAGGCTGGAGCCCACTGCTGGCGGCTATACCTTGCTTGTTGGACTCTTAGAGATCTCGTTGAATTGGAATTCGTCGCGAAAATGGTTGGAGAATAAGGAACAAAAATGTTACGTACACAAGTTAGGCTGAAGCCCACTGCTAGCGGCCGTACCTGAGCAACGTCTTGTTGGACTCTGGAGATCTCGTTGACTTAGAATTCGTAGCGAAAATAGTTGGAGAATAAGGAACAATAATGTTATGTACACAAGTTAGGCTGAAGCCCACTGCTAGCGGCCGTACCTGAGCAACGTCTTGTTGGACTCCAGCGATGTTGTGGCTCAGCGTTAGGTTAGTTTCGACGCTCGTAGGGTGGGTGCAGAAGCCGCAGAAGAACGCCACCGGCACCTGCAATGCAGTAGAAATGATCAGACAAACGCACAGTTGTCACGAAATTGGTCCCATAGAAACATGGAAATTAAGTGTTGTTTATAGGAGGTGAATATGGAAGCTCCAAGAGCATGGTTTGCGGTCATGCATGACGTTGAAAAGCCGTAAAAATGGGGAATGCGAATGCAATGTATATACTTCTATACCAATTAACAAGTTTTGACATATAATTCCACCAATGCGTTCGTGCTGGGGAAAAAAATGCCTGTAATAAAACTTACCTTCAACGGAAGTGCGAGATGAGTGGTCTGCGATTGCTTGCTCATGAGATGCCTCGTCATCCACGACGGACAGTAAGCGCTGTTCATGAGGGTCGTGAAAGGCTTCTTGGTGATGAGCGGTACCCAACGTAGAGGCCCGCTACACGTCGGCCGTACGCTGCCTTCGCTTTTGCCGTTCTGCCCCTTGGCGGTCTCTAGAATTGTTGCAGCAACCATCATAATCACGAGGAATTTCATGGTTGAGGAGTGCAGACGTTTAGGTATCGAGGGAAATGATCGTTTTTCTGTTTCCGCGTATAGGATCATCGATACTTTTATTTACTCGTCTATTTACATTAAATATGACTCCAAAATATTTAAAGATGAAAGCAATTTAAATTTTCCTTTAGTCCATTCTGTGATTGTTGAAATCAACCTGAATTGGGAAACAATTTCATAAGGTGAATGTAACTTGGGTGATTCCTAAGTCGTTGCCTAAACTAAGACATTTGTATTCAAAGTATTAGTTGTCTCATCAGGATATTAATTTTGCTCCTTCGTAACATTTTCCTCCAATTCCCGAAGTTATGCCAAAACTTTTTCACTTTTAAATGGGAAGTTTTCTCAAGGAATTAATAAAGCTAGGTTTGAAATATAGCGGCGTTCCACCGTTAACACGATATACTAGGTATAGGACGCCTGCTTTATAATTAGTCTTCCATGGTCGTCCTTCAGCTCTTGACTCTGTCCTATGTTCATTGTTAGGTTGCGGCCTGCGACACAAAAGATGCTAAGCTAGTATGCTCGATGCTGTGACGCAGAACAGCAATGCACAATTTATTTACGGTTATTTCTGTTCCGTTGTTCCCTGCGTTTTCCTGGAAGGCAAGTTAAGTCATGTTTATGTTCAGCATATTTATTTTTTTACCTCTTGTTTGATATTGAATGCCGCGATGCATACCCCGCTAGTTTTTTGGTTATTTTCAGCTTCGGAGTTCAATGGGAAACGAAATATTTGAAGAAAGATTTCTATTATATTGGTCTTGCCATAATCGGTATACTGGCTACCTGGACAGTTGAAAATTCTGGACGATGGTTGGAATTAAACATACCGTTTATTTTGTATAATTTGGTAGAACGAAATAAGATTCAGTTTGTATGGACCAGGGCCTATACTTTCAAAAAAAGTTAAGAGATCGTAAATTCATCAGCCAATTATTGACGGCCTTTCAAGCAAAATTCACCAATCATAGACAAGAAAATAGAAGTACTTACGTTCACTTAGCGAATTTTGAAAGTATGGCCCCAGGGTTTTAGAATTGGAGTGTCAAGTTGACCAAAACGTACCTTAGGGCCGTACTTTCAATTAAACCGTGCCCAAGTGAAGCCATGAAAAGCCTTCAGTTATTGGATAAGAGACTATAGTTACGGAAGAAGTAACTATTTTGATTCCCCCAGGTAACATACCCCGAGTATTTATAGGGACACACATCCAACACACATCCAAGGCCATGCTGAAAGCACCACCTTTGTAACGGTGACTAAGCGCCGTCCACTAGCAACACCGAGACTTTAACTAGTTAGTTAAACTAGATAGTTAAGGGTGATGCTTTGAGACTTTAACTAGTTAGTTAAACTAGATATTTAAGGGTGATTCTTTGTTAAGCCCGCTGGCAAGCGCTGTTGTGCACAGAAGGTCAACATGCGCACTGATTGCGGTTCCCGCGTGAATCCGTTATCGTCATGTTTCCTGTAGCCAAATAACCGCTCAAAAATCCCACTATGCATAGTGCACATTTCCGTTCATTAGAATAATTAGTGCTGAACGTTTCTGTTTTCCTGCAACACTGATTTCTGACCAAAACATGCGATTACTCTAGTCTCTAACATTTGATGGGCGTCGCATTTTTAAAGCAAATTAAAGTGTAAAACACGGTAGGTAGAAATTACAACGAGTGTAATTCTATATTACTACATTTGTATTTTTTGTATAAATTACATTTTGTTCGATCAGAGCAAGTCGAGAATTGTATATTTTCATTTGTACGTTTCCATCGGCGGAAAATACTGTTGACGATCTAGGCGAATTATTCCATGATAAGCAAATAATTGCTCTAGACTGATGACCGTAAATGGTTCTTTGCAGTCGCAGCACCTGGTGTTAATTGGAGAATATCTATACAATTCTAACGAACGTTGTAGGTAATTGGTGAACTTGTTTAATTATTCCGCATTGCTGTTGAGTCCTAATTGGCTTGCTGTGCTTAATTCATGAAGCTTCTTAGTTTTTCAGGCGTTTCTGGTGGAGTAGGAAATGCATCCAAGAGTAGTTGTTCTTAGAGGCTTATTTTGTGTCTCTTGCAATTGAATTAATTGCGTCGCCTTTGTTTTTTCATATTAGTTTACATTTCTCAGTTAACTTTTGGTCCTGAGATATAGCTTTAGACTGTAGAAAATGTAATATTATCATATTAATCAACATCTCAGTTCACCATTAGACCTAAGATATAGCTCTAGACTGTAGAAAATGTTATCCAACGTTATAAATTAAACTTTTCCTTCGATTGGTCGTAGTTATCATGAATTTCACTCGACATCTAAGAATGCTCGTAGGTTTAGCCTGAGTAGGTACATGCGACCACAGGCATGACACTCATTTTAGTGGCAGGAAAGCGGCTATTTTCCGTGTGAAACTGTGACCTCAACGCTGCATTCTGTTTTCCTGGACCATATTTATAGTCAGTCTCGTTTCCTATTCGGACGTTCTAACATACTTCTATTTCTTTAATGTGGTTACGTTGCATAGTAGCATCAAAAAAGTATTTTTTATTTAATATTGACGTGATCACCATCTTGTTCTCACGCCATTTTTTTCTGGCTAAAAGATAATCATTGCTATTGACATGGTTCTTGGATGTCAACTTTTTCTATCTCTTCAGAAATTCCAATCACCAAGCCTGTAGATACGAATAACATTGACGTCTTTGGCAGTAGCTTCTGACCAATTGTTAAGAGGGACAAGAACCCTGTATGGACTGCCGATTCAATTAGATCAAGGATACTGTTTTATCCATGTCATCCAGCGCTTTAGACATGAAAATGTTAAATATAAAAGGTGAAAAAAAACAACACTTGCTCTCATACACAGGCTACCAACCTTGTTTGTACTTTGTGTACAAACCGCCCAAGGCCCAAACCGTACTTTGTGTACAAACGTTTTCACACATGCGATGCAACAATGAATGATGTCAAGTTATGTTGCTATCAACGCGTATAACGGACGCCCACATCCCGGCTACTGCTTGTGTATCTTTGGTGTTCACCCTCGTTGATGCGCGGGTGCACAGGCTTCCCTTCATATGCGCGACCCTCAGATTTGAATTGCTTCGAGTACCGCTGCTTAATTCGCCCTAAAGCCAGAGACCTGCGGGCCAAGTGATGAGTGTTATTTTCTACGGGATTTGGAGTGATTTGTGTTTTTTTTTACGGGATTTGGAGTTATTTATGTTTTTTTTTTCTACGGGATTTGGAGTTATTTGTGTTTTTTTCTACGGGATCTACGGGATTTGGAGTTATTTGTGTTTTTTTTTCTACGGGATTTGGAGTTATTTGTGTTTTTTTCTACGGGATTTGGAGTGATTTGCTAAGATTGTTCATATATTATTGATCTTAAACATACTGGGTTACTTGATAATAATGAACGTGGATTTTTGATCTTAAACATAATGGATTGCTTGATAATAATGAACGTGGATTTTTTAACTTGAACGTAATGGGTAACTTGATAATGATGAACGTGAAGCCAAAGCTGTGATGTGGTCATATTTAAGTAGTGGGTTCGTTAGGTATCTATAAGAGTGGGATTAGTAGGCTCCTTTCTCTTACATGTCAGCTCTGGTAACCGAAAAAGCTCGAATTAAATGATGCCTGCAATAGTTTATATCGTTTTTGTAACAAACAACCAAACGCGCTAGTTGTGGCGCTTAGAGCTTCGACTTGTTGAGTGCAAACGTTATTATTCGCGCCCTGCGCTTCTCGTAATAACAGTTCATGTTGATGCATACTAGGCTATAGCATTACAGCCGACCTTGTGGTTCTCCACTGTGTGGATCTAGAACAAATTCCTTCGTGGTTGATGAACTGTGAACGTATTATTTTACAAAATATCAATAAACTGCACTGCGGAAATGCCATAAATTTCAGTCAGGGAATTGATGCACTTGAAATAATCTTTTTTGACAAATTTTATTCGGGCGACTTTCTTGCTATTACTTTTGAATTTTTCGCTTGAACTTTAGCGGAAGCAGGAGCAGGTCAGCGGAAGCGCCGTCGCTTGTTTCGCCGACAGCTGACCATTTATGGGTTAGAATAGAAAAAAAATTGGGTCGTCAGCGCGGCCTTGATCTTGAACTTGGCATCGCTCTCGCAATGGACGCGTTGACGAGTGGCAGTCATTGTGATACCTGAGGATCCAGACGAAACACGAATAAATTACGACATATTGCAAAATCCGGAGTGGTACTACCGAAGCTCGCTCAGGTATACGTATATAGCGGCGGATTCATCGTCTGTTATTGTTATAGCGGCGGATTCCTCGTCTGTTATTGTTAAGAACGTTATTGTATTGTTATTGTTAAGAGAACGTAAGTTCATCAGCCAATCATTGACGGCCTTTCAAGCCACTCTTTTAAAAACAGTTAAGAGATCGTAAGTTCATCAGCCAATCATTGACGGCCTTTCAAGCAAAATCCACCAATCATAGACAAGAAAATAGAGCGTAAGTACTTACGTTCACTTAAAACGAATATTGAAAGTATGGTCCCTGGTTGTTTACCTATCACTGCGTAATTATGGATATTGATAAGTAATATTTTATGAACTGGCAAATTTATTTGATTATTTGACGGTTTCTAAATTGTGAATTATACGAATGATTTAAAGTGCAAATCGGCATATGAAGTGTTACGTGAGCCTAAAACACTTGCGCATTTTATGTGTGCTCTTTATCGACCTCTCATCAGCACACCTGTTCAAGTTGCACCTCTCTGTCTCTCTCTTTTCTCTCTACGTTAGCGCATGTTGGTCTTCCTTTGAAACGTACATTACACTTGTGCAATGCAACCGCACAATACTCTTGTTTGTTTACTGTACGCTCTTTGAAAGAGACGAGACTTCTATGTCGTGTCAGAACACAGTCTATTTTTGCCTACATAAATAGGATTTTTATCGACACTAGATACTGAATAAAACCTTAGTTTAGTTTGCCATTGGTTTATTAATTGCCGGGGATTTACATAACAAAGGTTAATGTTTTCAATTAAACAGTTTCGAAGGTTATCATTATGCAATGTTTTGTGCCGTCACTAAAGATGTTAATTCAATGTGCTTACTAGTTGCTTATATGATCATTGATAGGTAGTCTGGCTTATTAGCTAGTTGATTATTGTGCAACAATGTGTGCTAATAATTGTGAATAAATTAGTGCTAAAATTGGATACTCGCTAAGAGTTTATTGTGAAGACATGTGTGCTAATTTGGCTTACAAGCTATGGATATGAGGGATTATTTGAAGCAATGTGCGTCAATTTGGTTAATTAGCCAGGTAATATTGTGATGAAATAAGTACCTAGTAATTTGGCTTAATAGCCAAGGGATTATTGTGAACGAATGCGATGCCGCTTATCACTGAACGAAGGAACAATCATATCATTCATCAAACATATCATTTGTCTAGGTGGTTGGGATGCGAGTAGTTGTCGAGTTAATCATCAGTTTATATCGAAACTTAATCAACTATGCTAAGCACATAGTTAGCAATGCGTCATGCTGGCATTCAGATAGCACCGCTCCCCGGCCTCTCATCGCAGGATTAAAGAGTTCCTCACATCGCAGGATTAAAGAGTTCCTCACATCGCATGATGAAAGAGTTCCTCACATCGCAGGATTAAAGAGTTCCTCACATGCATCGCAGGATTAAAGAGTTCCTTTCACAGCGCAGGATTAAAGAGTTCCTTTCACAGCCTCAGCTAAATGCCTTGCCTGTATGCAGCTCTGGGCCATCCTGTTGGGCAAGCGATTGTTGCGTTTTTTAGTGATCAAGTTTTTTGTGGTCCATATCCGCTTGTAGTGCTTGCTCTAGAATAGGAAAGGTAATGAAA